GATTCACATCCCGGCCTCAGATTCACATCCCGGCCTCAGATTCACATCCCGGCCTCAGATTCACATCCCGGCCTCAGATTCACATCCCGGCCTCAGATTCACATCCTGGCATCAGATTCACATCCTGGCCTCAGATTCACATTCTGGCCTCAGATTCACATCCCGACCTTAGATTCACATCCCGACCTCAGATTCACATCCTGGCCTCAGATTCACAACCCGACCTCAGATTCACATCCCGACCTCAGATTCACATCCCGACCTCAGATTCACATCCTGGCCTCAGATTCACATCCCGACCTTAGATTCACATTCTGGCCTCAGATTTATACCTGTCTTCAGATCACAGCCTCAGTTTCAGGTTCTGGCCACAGATTCACATCCTGGCATCAGATTCATACCCTGTCTTCAGATCACAGCCTCAGTTTCAGGTCCCGGCCACAGATTCACATCCTGGCATCAGATTCATACCTGTCTTCAGATCACAGCCGTAGTTTCAGCTCCTGGCCACAGATTCACATCCTGGCCTCAGATTCACATCCCGACCTTAGATTCACATCCTGGCCACAGATTCACATTCTGGCCTCAGATTCACATCCCGACCTTAGATTCACATTCTGGCCTCAGATTCATACCTGTCTTCAGATCACAGCCTCAGTTTCAGGTTCTGGCCACAGATTCACATCCTGGCATCAGATTCATACCCTGTCTTCAGATCACAGCCTCAGTTTCAGGTCCCGGCCACAGATTCACATCCTGGCATCAGATTCATAGCCTGTCCTCAGATTCAGATCACAGCCTCAGTTTCTGGTCCTAGTCACGGATTCACATTCTGGCCTCAGATTTATAACTGTCTTCAGATCACAGCCTCAGTTTCAGGTTCTGGCCACAGATTCACATCCTGGCATCAGATTCATACCCTGTCTTCAGATCACAGCCTCAGTTTCAGGTCCCGGCCACAGATTCACATCCTGGCATCAGATTCATACCTGTCTTCAGATCACAGCCGTAGTTTCAGGTCCTGGCCACAGATTCACATCCTGGCCTCAGATTCACATCCCGACCTTAGATTCACATCCTGGCCACAGATTCACATTCTGGCCTCAGATTCACATCCCGACCTTAGATTCACATTCTGGCCTCAGATTCATACCTGTCTTCAGATCACAGCCTCAGTTTCAGGTTCTGGCCACAGATTCACATCCTGGCATCAGATTCATAGCCTGTCCTCAGATTCAGATCACAGCCTCAGTTTCTGGTCCTAGTCACGGATTCACATCCTAGCATCAGATTCATACCCTGTCTTCAGATCACAGCCTCAGTTTCAGGTTCTGGCCACAGATTCACATCCTGGCATCAGATTCATACCCTGTCTTCAGATCACAGCCTCAGTTTCAGGTCCCGGCCATAGATTCACATCCTGGCATCAGATTCATAGCCTGTCTTCAGATCACAGCCTCAGTTTCAGGTTCTGGCCACAGATTCACATCCTGGCATCAGATTCATACCCTGTCTTCAGATCACAGCCTCAGTTTCAGGTCCCGGCCACAGATTCACATCCTGGCATCAGATTCATAGCCTGTCAGATTAAGATCACAGCCTCAGTTTCAGGTTCGCATC